TTTGATTTTAAGATCTTTTTACCATATTCATTTTATTAATTTTACAAGACTGAAATAAAATAATAGAACAACAACCCTCACATTTTATAAATACAAGGTATCTCGAACCCCTTTTACCATCAACTCAATCAAATTTAAAAACACCATCAAAACTAATCAAAATATCTATTCCGAAATATTTGGCTTTACGGTTAACAAATCCGCGCTTCTTAAGCGCGGGTCAAAATCTAGTATATTTTAAAAAGTAGTAGGGATACCGAACAAAACTTGGGTTCACCCCCTGTGGTGAACTCTCTAATTCACCTCACCTTTTAAAACCAACCAAACTGCCATGTAGGATTTAAAAGAATGTATTAAAATTTCAGAAAAAAAAAAGGAAATAGGTTAGAAAAAGAGAGAAAGGTAACGACGTTGTTAACGCCGTCGCTGGCTTCTTCTTCTTCATCCCCACAGACTAAAAACTTCAGGGAAGCCAAGCAGTGCTCCGATTAGAGGTGTAACGACTCACGCACATGTTAGGTTTACTTCCTTTAAACTGATAGGAAGCTTTGTTTTCTTATGGCTTGTTTTTTAACAGACGAAGGCAACAGTTTCTTGGTATCTCGTGGTTTCCCATCTTCCTATTATTATGCTATTGTTGCTTAATTTTGTACATGTTGCTATATCTCGGTTTTTAATAAGGTATAACTACTGTTCTATGTTATCTAGAATAATTTTGACTGGTATTTATATTTTTCTATATAGCTGCAATGGAGAGTATACTCATATAGGTGGTCAAAAAATTGTTTTATCTAGTCATGATGAATCTAGTTTGCAAGTCTCAGGTGAAATCAGTTTGTTAAGTCAGAACTTGGATGAGTTTTTAGCAGTGATTACCACTGTAAACTGAAAGCTTCTTCACTTAAACATACATAATGAGTTTCAGCAGAATTATACAGAGATTACAAGCAAAAAGAAAAGAAAAAAAGAAACTGTTCTTTGATTCTTTAGTCATACATGCATATATAGCTTACTCGCAGATTCTTTGCAGTGAAGCCAACCACTTTTCAAGCTCATCCACTTCACTTGATTCAGAGCTGCAGTTTTGAATTTATGCAAGAGTTTTAGTAGTTTTCAGAGTTTGATTAAATTACAGTGACCAAGCATGAGCTCAGACATTACCTATTGGTAGTAGTTGCGTTGCAGGAGGTGCTGCGGTTTTTGCAGCGATCCTACCTTTTGGAGCTGATGATCACTGTTTCAAAAAAATGTGACAAAAAAGACATAATAAGAAGATATAAGTGATCTAAATATGATGACAATACAAGGCTAACACAATATCAAAATATAATAAACACATAAATATAAATGTTATAACATTTGCACATTTTACTACATACAAAAGGTTTTATAGATTATTTTTTTGAATAGAAAAAAATAAGAGCTATTCTTGGGTTCACCCCATAGGGTGAACCTCTAGGTACACCATACAATAGGATTTCACTATTTCATATTTGATATCTTTTAAAAAAGGAAACAAAATCTTGTTAAGTTATATTATATTTTTTAAAATAAAAATACAAAAATAAATAAAAAATAATAATAATTAATAAAAACAAAAATGATCTTTTTTAAAGAAAATATTTTAACACTAAACCCTAAACTCTAATCCTAAAACCTAAACCCCTAGGTAAATCATAAACCTTTGGATAACTTTTATAAAAAAAAAATTTAAAAAAAAAAATGTTTTAACACTAAACCCTAAAATCTAATCCTAAACCCTAAACCCTTGGGTAAATCATAAACACTAAACCCTAAAACTCTAATCCTAAACCCTAAATCCTTGGGTAAATCATAAACACTACACCCTAAACTCTAATCCTAAACCCTTAGGTAAATCATACTATTAAATTTTTAAAACACTATAAGATTTATCTAAAGGTTTATGATTTAACCATGGATTTAGGGTTTGTGATTAAAGTTTAGGGGTTACTAAAATATTTTCTTTAAAAAGAATTATTTTTCGTTTTTATTTATTATTTATTTATTTATTTTCTATTTTTACTTTTAAAAACATAATATAACTTAATAAGATTTTCTTTCCTTTTTAAAAAGATATCAAATATGAAATAATGCAATTCTATTGGATGGTGAACCTAGAGGTTCACCCTGAACCCAAGAATAAGTCAAAAAATAAAAGCTAACAATAAACATTTATCCAAATAAATTATTTCAACTTGGTGAGAAATTTAGTCAATAAATAATAATATAACAAAGATACATCATACAATTAAAAAAACATATACATTTAAGAGGATATTTCATAATTAAGAAAACAATTATGAACATCAATTAGGAGAATACATTAACTTTATCATGTCAACCAAAACTATAAAAAGACTACCTTTTCTCTTTTAATCATTGAACTTAAGTTAAGGAAATTAATAAGATACTGAGAAACAACAAAACAAATAATTTACATATTATCAAAACAAATGAGAAAACAAAAAAAACAATAAACATCAAAACAAAAATAATAAAAAAGTAAAAAAATAATTTCATTAAATAAACAAGAGACTAAATTGTTGTTACCTTAATAAATCTATTTAAAACTGTTATGTCATGTATTGCAAAAGAAACATCAAACTTAATTTCTATACTTATACGAAAATAAATAAATAAAATAAATATTTTCACAGTATGAAAAAGAGACAATAAAAATAACATGTCAATGAAAATATAAGAGTATAAAACCTAAAATAAAACAAGCAATCATCAAAATATCTATTCAACAAAAACAAGATAAAAAACATATCATCATTAAAATTATCTCAACAAGCGTACACAAAATTTAGTTAATTATCACGAGGTAGAAATTGAATATTCTAACATCAGACATTTTAAACTGAAATGGATGATTAAATTAAAAATAAGCATTATAAAATAACTTCATACATAATATATAACCAAATATTTTCAAATATAAATGTCTAAGAAAATATAATATATATAATTAGATAATGATATAATCTCTCAAATTAATAGTGAAATAAGGTTAACATTTTGGTGAAAATATCATGAAAGTTAATGTTATTTTACTTAAAATAAATTAAAGCTTTTAAAGTAATTTATATATGCCTTCGCCCGCCCGTAGGGCGGGTTTATCCTAGTATTTTCATAAAAAGAAATTCATAAACTTGTGATAACAAAATTTTCAATGTGGAACTTTTAATAATTCTAAAATAATTTATAATAGTTTCTGAAAACTAACTGCCAATTTAAAAAATTAAAATGATAAGTTTTCAATTCTTGTTCAATAAAAATTTGAAATTAAAACATATGTGTATTTTATATGGTATATACTTTAATATATATATATATATATATATATATATATTAAATGAGATTTTTACTTATATAATTTTTTGATTATTTATATCTTTTTATAATTAAAAATTTAAACGGGTTATCATAGTATTTTCAACGTGAGACTTTTAACAATTTTAATAATTTATATTTATTTTTAAAAACCAGTTATAGCATATACGAAAAAATGTAACTTTTATATAGGGTTAATATGACTGTTTATTTTATGTTAATAATATAAAATAAAACATAGATTATGAAAGATACATAAATTGTTATCAAATCATTATTATTAAAATTATTAACTGTCATATATTTACTCTGTCATATATATACTTTAATCATATTAGGTAATATTGTAGCTTTCATTTAAGAAAAGAAATTAATTTTACATTATTAATTAATTTTATGATTAACTTAATGAGGATTATATTGTATATTTAATGGACCAACATATTTTTCTAGGGATTTTACAAAATATTATAATGATAACATTTCATAGCTAAAATGTTATGATGCTTTTTTTTAATATATAAGGGATATCTTTGATCTTGGACCACTTATAAACTGAAGCTTGTTGAATCGAAAGATTGTATGATATACTCTCAGACCCAAGAAAAAAAAAAGATAAAGAGATTGTGGTTTCTCTTTTTGTTGAAAATGTGTGCTTATAAAAGAGCCAGAGATTTCAATATAAATAAAGGGATGCACCTCAGATAAGAGCTTAGCAGAGAAGAAGATGTATAGATCAAGAACATCCCGCTGATGCTCCTACTCCTCCCGTAGGTGTTTCCCAGTTCTGTTTCAATTCTCTTTTTACCAAATGATGTAGAACAGATTATTCAACTCTTTAGGATATCTACGTAGGCCTCCTTAAAAATAAAATTTTAACATTACCATGTGCGCTTAGACATTTATGAAGTTTCTACTTATAGTCTCTTGAAAATCTATGAGTTTATCTTCTTTTTTTTGAGTTTGTCTTTACTAGTTGATTTAAGATGTCAAGCGAAAGCAAAACAAACAACATGTAGACGCAAGATGCAGTTTTACAAACATATGCCTTCATTTCACAAAGCTTCATATCCTAATTTGGTTAATCCTTTCTAATTACCAAACAACTTGCTTTCAAGAACACATACTATGAATATGATCCATCAATCAGAAACAGATAAACAATGCAGAAATCGAAAAGAATATGGGACAGTAGCCACAATACCAGACCAATCGATGGTCCCACAAATCTTATCTCCAGATCTATCAAGTGAGACCAACATAGACTCAACATTCTTGGAAATCGTATTATCAACTTCAATTTCATCCCACAAAACCACAAGCCTTCCGTTGTTCTCTGCCATGGCAGTATCATGTAAGAAAAAAGAGGGTAGTTGCTTCCCATCACGACCCACCAATCTTCTCCACACACTGAGTTTTGTATCGAACCACAGAATCCCATTCAACCTAAAGAAAGCAAAGAGAATATCTTCCACCACACACACAATATACGCTGTATCATTTAACATATCCTTTCTTCCACCCTCAGAGAGTTTCTCGCTAACCATATGAACCAACCGTTCTCTTTCACATTCTCTTGGGTTGTACAAATTGGTCTCCTCGTAGTCCACCATATAAAGCTTCCCCTCCACCGAGGCACTACATCGTAAGATATTACGCATCTTCTCAGACCCAGCAACCTCCCAAGTTTCCGTCTTTAGATCAAAAACTTCAACTTGGCTCTCTTCCTCTTCCACTCCATGAAACCCTTCGCCTCCGATAACGTATATCTTCCCGTCGATAACTCCCACAGCTGCATCGAATTGTTCTCGAGGCACGCTCATGCTTGGTCCCTGAGTCATGGTTCCAGATCGTGTATCAAGGATCCATAGATCCGTGGAAGGTTCTGTAGAACCGCCGATGAAGAAGATCTTTGACCCCAATGCAACGGTTGCAGAACCGTACTTATGAGGAGGGAAGAGAGTTGGGTTCGAGACTAACCCATACTCCCTTGTCTTTGATGTTTCGCTGAGAGTAAACCAGTGGAAGGATTCGTCGTCGTCCTCTCCTTCTTCCAAACATACATGGAGGGAGGTCTTGTGGAGGTTGAGCTCAGGCGAGCGAAGAAGGGCTCTTAGGTGTTTCGAGACCCATGAGAGGCTTAGGTGATAGCTTCTTGGGACAAGGGCTAAGCATTTGACAACGATTTCGTCAGGTAGTGAAGAAAGCGACGGCGGCGGAGGAGGAGGATTGGTTCTGTATTTTCTCGGTGGCTCCTCGGCGTTAGACATCGTTGCGTTGAGGGAAGATGTTTCCAAACGGTATGTTGTAGCATTTTAGGCTAAAAAAACAACACGTGCTAGAAAAACGGCATGTTGTGCGAGAAAACAGCAAGATCAAAAATGACAATGCGTGCTTTTTCTCTTAGGTGTATTATCATCAATTATTTTGCTCAAGGGCATCGTTGCGTTGATAGAAGATGTTCTAAACGGCATGGTGTAGCATTTTAGGCTAAACAAAACAAAAAAGGTAGAAAAGGGCATGTTTTGCGAGAAAACAGCAAAAGCCGGTGTGTAGTTAGGTAGGCATCTCTATAATATTATTTGAGAAGTCAGTTTCCTATGTGGCGCTCTCACGTTTACTCTCACGATGGTTGATTACACTGATACCCTTAATGAATTAAAAATAGTTAAAAATAGTATTATTCATTCTTTTATTTAGTTTCCTTTTCAAAAATTTCAAAAAAAATATGTAATAAAAAAGAAATTTTTTATAAAGTCACAAAAAAAAATTGAAAACAAAAAATATATGTATATATAATATGATTTCATAAAAAAGGAAAGTTCAAAAAATAATAATAATACCTTTAAAATATTTTTAAATAACATAAAATATACTTTTAGAGTAATAAAAATAGTTTATAATTAGTATTATTGATTTTTTATTTATTTAGTTGACTATAATATCTTTCAATTACAGAAAATTATCTATAGATTATATTTTACCTATATAATATTAATTTCAAATATAATTACAATTTTGTGCAGTGCTTATTTTTAAGAGATATTAAAAACTTAAAACAAATTTAATAATAAATATCGCTTGATCAAATAATTAAAAATTAATATGAGTTAGATATATGATATTTTATCATTATTAAAAAAAATTCTTAATATTAAATTTTATGTTTTTATGTTTGTGAAACTAAATATAACCATAATAAAAATACCAAAGCAGATCTGAATTCCCAATTTTAAGATTATTTAAAATAAATTTTAGTTTATATTCATTAAATCTAAAGCATAAAGTTATTTAGAATTTATAAATATTTTAATTATTGTAAATATTGATATATGTTCATGAGCTTCCAAAAATATATCAACTACTTATGCATGTAACTTTCTATTGATCTTCGGATAACTCAAAACATATTAACAAATGAAAATAAATATTAATCAACTCTTACAATTTTAGTTCTTTTATAAAATTTATATATATGCATGTGACTTTAGAATATTATCGTTATATTAATTTACGTATTTTGGAATCAGACACTTTAGTTAATTTTTAATTCATTCTAAGTACAATATATCTTAAGTTATACATAATTTTCCAAAAATATATTTACATATCTAAGACAACACCCACTATATGCAAATAAGTAATTAATTAAAAATTAGATATTACAGTTGGATTCAAAAAAAATCAATTTATCCAAATGATAACTAAATCAACCGTAAAAACAATAAAGTCGACTAGACATAACATATATAAAATTACAGGATAAATAAACTAAAATAATATTATTAATATAAATGATGCATACAAATTATAAATTAATTTAAAATTAAAACTAAATAGTAATCAATTATTATTATATATTTACTTTAAAAATATTTATACCGGTGCATGAGCACGGGAAAATCACCTAGTAGACATAAAAACCAAAGACTTGTTGAACTTCTAGGTTCACCATCCAATAAGATTGCATTATTTCATATTTGATATATTTTTTAAAAGGAAACAAAATCTTATTAAGTTATATTATGTTTTTAAAAATACAAAATAAATAAAAACTAATACTAATAATTAGAGTTTAGGGTTTAGTGTTTATGATTTATCCAAGGGTTTAGGGTTTAGGATTAGAGTTTAGGGTTTAGTGTATGATTTACCCAAGGGTTTAGGGTTTAGTGTTTTAGTGTTAAAATATTTTTTTAAAGATCTTTTTATAAAGGTTCTCCAAAGGTTTTAATTTACCCTAGAAGGTGAACCCAAGAATAACTCAAAACCAAAACCCGCACCCAAACCAAAATAAAGATATTGGATTGGTTTCGGATCCAACAAATTACCAGATCAGGTTTCGTATTGTGATGTTTTAGATATCAGGTTCGGTTTTGTTAAACCTGATAACTGAAACATAACTCAAACTAAACCGAATGTATATACATATATAGAGTAAACGATCTATTTCCACACCATAACTATCGTATAGTAATAGATCCACACAAATTTTGAACTTCGTATCAATTGCACACAATTAAACTATAGCAACCTATTTCTCCAAAATGAAAGATCAAAATTCGTTTCCACACAGACGAAAAATTGAGCTTGGTTTTAATGGTTTATAACGTTAACCGATATTAAATCCAGTGGTTTCGATTAACATTGGTACAACCTGACTCAAACGAATTGATTATAACCCGACCCGAACCTCTATTAATCGTCTCCTAATCGATTTACCCCTTTTGGAACCCTAAACACTAAAAGAAAATCAGAAAACAAAGAATACTAAAACCTATTTTAAACCGTTATTTGTTGGTATTGGTTCATCCTTCAAACTTTAGGGGGAATCGGGTTTCAATCTTTCTTTTTGGGGAGAAATAGGTTAATATAGTTTAATTGTGTGTAATTAGGATGAAGTCCAAAATTTGTGTGGATTTATTACTACATGATAGTTATGATGGGAAAATAAGTCGTTTACCCACATATTATGATATATTCATGTATACACGTGTATTACGGGTTAAGTTTTTTTTCTTTTAAGTTTTGGATTATCTTCATTATTAAGTATATTAGAGTTATAAACTTTTGAATGTTGCTATTTTTTTTTTAATTTGCTATGTGTTGAATACTTATTTATTCAGTTTAAAGTATCAAATTTCCTGTGGTTAGACCTTTAATTATATATGTTTTTGCTTCAGTATAAACGAAACTGAACCGAAAAAAATCTAAACAGAATGATATATAGTTAGTTTATGAGTTTTTCGATGTGGTACAAATTAAAGATGAAACCAATGTATTATATCTGAACACAGGTACTTGCAAATTTATTAGAATAAAATCTAGGACCCAGTCCAAACGCTCATACGGCTATTACCTATGTATAGTCATCAATTATTATGAGTCGAGCTTATTATAGAGCCATATGGCTATAGAGTATAGATTAATATCAACATAAATAATGAAAAATAATGTATGACGGCAAAACTAATATAAGGCTTGATTGGCAGAGCATTAATATATACATTATATTTTTTATTATCCAATCAATATTTGTTAGATAAATATTTAGAAAACCATTTCTTAAATGCAAATTTGCTCTCCAAATATTCTTTGATCAATACTCTCATATGAAGCTTCTGATAGAGTATTTGTAGTAGAATTTATAAAACTTAAAATATAATAAATATTTTTATAATTAAAATAAATTTATAATAAACTTATATATAAGAAATTTATTTTTGTTTAATAATATAATCAATATTTTTATAATAAAAAAATAATTTTATTTTTGCAAAAATAAAAATTACAACGAAATATTTTTAACTTTTTAAAAGGACACTATTTTACATTTAAAATATGATATTATTTATATATTATAGATATAAGCTTATCTATATTATTTGGACACTAATAAATAAATTATATAACGTATATTAATTTTTATGACAATTTTATATATGAAAATAATAATATTCACCTAATAAACTATAATATAATTATATAATGAATAAAATTTATTATTTTTATCACAAATGGCTTTGTATAAATTTTTCAATTTTCAAAAAAAATCTCGGATCAATATTTACATGTATTCATGAATTTCCTTTTTCAATTTTTATTAATAATAAAAGAAAAATTATTATGGTCAACATGTATTTATGAATTTCCTAATTTGTTTGGACAGTTTCTGGTTCTATATCAATTCATAATGCGTATTAGTTGATTTTTCAAAAGCATTACGTATTTATCAGGTATTATAGAGTTGTATATAAATAAATGTTGATTATGTCTGGAATCTTTTATTTTAGGAAGACGATGTCACAAATTTGTATTTAGAAAGTAAATTAAACAAGGAAGGATTTCTTAATTTTCATTGATTGATTTTCTAAAGGCAACTTCTGGAGTATTTTCTTAAGAAACTAAGAGAGTATAGTTCGAAATCATATCATAATGCTAAGCTAAAAATCATATCATAATGCTAAGCTAATTGATTGATTTTATTCAAGCATTTATTGATTTTATTTAAACATTACAAAAATTTCAGAAATTATAGAGTTGTGTTGTCAGTAAGTAATTAGAACTGAAACATATTCATTCCAATAATATTTACCTTGATTTCAATTGGTAGCATCAATTTCATCGCTGATTTTAAAGCCTAAAAATCAATGTGAAAGGTAAGAATGAAAGTGATACGATTTTGGAAGCAGTACTCTGCTGCTGCGAGAGACCATAGGAATGGTTTTCGTGGATGCAAAAATATGTTTTGATTTTCAATATATCTTTTGAATGTATTTTTTTAAATCTTTTTAATTCTTTTACCCCGCAGAAGATAAAACCTTACTTTTTTTAGAAATGCTATAACAAACAGTGTTAATCAACAAGATTTCAACAAAAATCTGTACTGAGTTTTGTCTTATTTTGAATATGGTTTTGTAGAAATTGACCCGTTTGTGGCTGTAATAGAATGTTGACAAAAAAAAAAAAAAAAAAATCAACAAGATCTCAGTTTCTTTTAGATGTAAGAGCACCTCCATAAATAATATATAAGAGAATATTTCACAATAATAATATAAAAATAAAGAAATGCAAAAATAATGAAATGATCAAGGTTTTTTTAAATGACATTTGTGTCAATTTTAGTGGTATAAATGTTTAAATTGATTTAAATTAAATTGTCTTAAAATAACATTTTTTATTTTTATTTTAGATACTCATAAGTTTTTGCAAATAAGATTGATCTAGCATCTTAAAACTGATTTTCCAAGGTATGTATTAATATAATACTTTTTAAATGAGAGAAAAAATTATAAAATTTAAATATGTAGTGTTTTATCAAATTTAATTTTAAATCTAAATATTTGTTGATTATATATTTTCTATAAAAGTAAAATTTATATATTTATCATTTTAAATTTTTTTTATTAATTCGTCAATATTAAGTATGACTCTTTAAAATATATTATTTCATATTTTAAAGAAAATCTAGTTAATTTAGTCAATATAGGTTTCAATTCAACTTTATACATTGATTGAGTTTATGAGTTAAATAATATTGTGAATTTTTAATAATTTTGTTTTGATTTGTTTCTTTATCCGATTTTTAAAAGGAAATGGATTCTGGTTTACAATTAATAATAAGAAAATCAGTTAAAATTATTTGTGCTTCATATTTTATTTTTATTCTTTTATTTTTATTTTATTTTCTTCAAACCAATATGACACTCAGCTCATATGTAGAATGACTTCTTACTGAATAAATGATATGAATTTGAATAAAATCTTCAAATCATTAAATATAAATATAAATATATACAAATGTGAATTATCGAGATTACCAATTTAGAATTTTGATAAAAATAAACATTTAGAATTTTTGTAAAATTATTTTAGAATTTATTTTCCAGTTTAAATAGACCAATGGAACGATACAAAATGGACTCATTTACTGGGTTATGGATGTTTAATTGCATCTCCGGCTTAGTCTATGCTACTAAGTTCGCTTATCCTCTTCCTATAGTGTTTTATAGTAAAATATAAATATAAATTAAAATTATAAATTGACATAAGAATTATGTTTTTTGGGTATAATAAATTTACTAATTTTGAATATGTAAAAATGTCCATAATTATATTTTATAAAATTCCAAAAAGAATATAAACGATTGAGAACATTCAATCATACTATGACAATTAATTATTTTAATTTTTTATTTTAAAATGTCAATGTTTCTAAAAAATAAAATAACACGAAATTAATTTTCCATATATAATTTAAATTAAAAAAATAAATTTTAACATTTTACATGTTACTTGAAATATTAAATATTATTGTAAAATAGAAAACAAAAAAATCAGTAATATTAACAAAAGAATCATGTATTTTTAGGTGGAATTAATCCAAAGTAAATTTTTAAAAAGTGTTAATATTTTCAAAAATATAAAAGAAAAAGAAATCGTATTCTATATATAAATTAGACTAACAAAATAAACATTAACATTTTAGAAGTTACTTAGAATGTTAACTATTATAGTACTATAGAAATCAAAAAATTAAATTGTAATATTGACAAATTACGTTTTCTATATAATAAATCCAAAGTGCATTTACACTAAAACAGAATGATAAATTAATGTTAGAATAGTTAATTTCCTAATTTTCATTATGTAAAATTTCGACTAATATTATATGCCATTCAAGTAGAAAGATAAATTATAATAAAAAGATTTCATAACTGTGTAATAGCATTTAAACGAATCAAACAATTTATATAAAAGTTTTAAATTCATGATTTTTAAAGTTCATAAATATGTTGTAAATAAAATTATTCATTTATACAAACAAACAATCTAAATAATAGTTATATTGAAACATGTATAAATTAATTAATAATGTTGGGATTACACCAAAACTATATTTTTTATTAATTTATAGAGATTATTAATTTATTGATATACTAATTGAACCAAAACTCTATTTGAGATTATAAAACTATATTATTTTATAGAGATTTTTAATATATATTAATTTATAAAGTATTAATTTAAAGAGGTTATATTGTATTTAAACAGTAAAATTGTATAAAACTTAAACAAGAAAGTAAGAAATGATATTTTCGAAACTCTCAAGGTACAAGTAAGATAAGAGAATACACAAGAGGAAACGCTCTCACACTCACCAATCTCTCTCTCTTTTTCTTGCTCACAGGAAGAAGATAACTCTCTCTAGTCACTGGCTGTCAATCTGGTGACGAGGTCACCCTGTTCTCGTTCTTCTCTTCTGTGCTTCTGTAGCACGTGATACTGATTATAGACTTTGATAAACTGGGCCAGCTTTGTCTGATGTGTTCTCCTTATGGGCAAAGCCCATAACTCACAACACGGTTGCAGAAAACACCAAAAGAATCAGCGTAAATCTGATCGAAGATCCGTCCAGTGAACCCACAGTTACAGCTAAGCGCAGAAGATGGTTCCTCTGATTTGGACAAGGAAGCAGCATTGACAAATTTTGAACTACTACGAAAGTGTAGAGACTCTTGTAACTTTGTAGGAATGTTGTCATCAGTGAGGCGAAACTCGAGTTAGACTAATATTCATTATCTTCCTCCATGTGTGTCAATGATGTAAAAAGATCAGTTTAGAACTCGAGATTAAAAAAAAAAAGAGAACTTGAGATTAATACCAACTTAAATAACGATGCAAACAATACTGCAAACAAAAAAGAAACCACCTTTCATTTTCTTCAATAACCACTCATGGGTTTTGAAAACAAATTGCTTCAAGAACACATAGTATGATCAATCACTCGGAAACAGTTAAACATTGCCGAAAACGAAACGAAACTGGGGGTGTAGCCAAAATACCAGACCAATCGATAGTCCCACAAATCTTTCCTCTAGCTCTGTCCAGTGAGACAAACATACACTGAACAGTCCTTGCGAGAATATCGGAATAAAAAACCACAAGCCTTCCCTCGTATTCCGCTATGGCTTCCACACGTAAGATAAATGGTAGTTCTTTCCCATCACGACCCACCAATTTTTTCCACACACTATGCTTTGTATCAAACCACATCAACCCAGTATTGTGAAAGAGTGCAAAGAGAACATCATCCACCACACACACGTCATACACCCTATCCTTTAACTTATCCTTGCTTCCACCTTCCGAGAGTCTCTCGCTTACCATATGAACCATCCGTTCTCCTTCACCTTCTCTCGGATTGTACACACTTGTCCTCTTGTCCTCCACGATAAAAACCTTCCCCTCCACCGAGGCACAACACCGTGCAATCTTACGCACGTTCTCATGTCCCCCAAGCTCCCAAGTCTCCGACTTTGGATCAAAAACTTCAACTAGGATCTCTTCCTCTTCACGAAAGATTCCGTCGGTGGTGAAGAAGAAGGGTAAGCCTCCGATGACGTATATCTTTCCGTCGATCACTCCCACAGCTGCTTTGTCCTCGTCTCGAGGCACAGTCATGCTTGGCCCTTGGATGATGGTCCCAGATCTTGTATCAAGGATCCATAGATCCGTGGAAGGTTCTCCTCTAGGTCCACCAATGCAGAAGATCTTTGGCCCCACTGCGACGATGGAAGAATCGTAGTTAGGATGAGAAGGGAAGGGAGTCGAGTTGGTAACTAACCCATACTCCTTCGGTGATGTTTCCTTGAGAGTATACCACTGGAAGGATGAGTAATCATCGTCCTCTAAGTCTTCCAAACATACGTGGAGGGAGTTCTTGGGGAGAGTGGTGGATCGCAAGAGGTTGAGCTGAGGCGAGCGAACAAGGGCTCTTAGGTTTCTTGAGACCCAAGAGATGTTTAGGTGATGGCTTCTTGGGACGCGGGCCAAGCAACTCAAAACGATATCATCAGGCAATGAAGAAAGCGACGGCGGTGGAGGAGGGTGTGTAGAGAGTTTTTTCGGTGGCTGGATGGCTTTGGAGTTAGACATTGTTGCGTCCGTTTCAACTCAAAATGATCGGTCTTTGCATTAAGATGATGGAAATCGAACAGGCCCTAAATAGGCATGTAGTAGCATTTTAGGGTAAAAGAAAAATCTACTAAACGGCATGTTTTGCGAGAAAACAGCAAGATGTTCATTAGGTTCAAACACGGCAGCAATCTCGTATAGACTCTTAAGGTAAATACCTTAATTTGGGTTAGCTTCTGATCCAGATATGGACAGCTAGCATTTATGAAAATAATAATTTATATATTACGTTACTTTCATAACCTTAACTTCAAAAATGTTAAAAGAATCAGCGTTAATCAAGAGATGTTATCTAACTTTGAATAAGGTACGTAGAAATTGACCCGTTAATTCTGGCTTTAATATGCTACGTTACAACAACAAAACTGTGTTTGAGATTTTCTTACTTCTAATATGGTATGTAGAAATTGACCCGTAAATTTGTTTCTTTAATAAGATGCTACGTTACAAAAGAAATATCAACCAAAGATCTCAGTTTTGTTGTAGATGTAACTTGTCAGTGCTGATTGTAAGGTACGTATTAATGTAATAGATTTTTAATGAGAGGATTCAGTTCCAATTACATGAGCATTTTGGCAAAAAAAAATCTTGTGGAATTCCTAGAAGGCTAACCAAAACCAGTAAAAAGGAAAGAGAAAGATGCAATAAATTACTAGAAGGCTAAGAAAAAGTTCCTAAAAACTCGTAGCAACTTACCATAAAATCATGTTGAATTCGTCGAAAAGTCATTTTAAACCTTAACGTGACGAAAATTAGTTTGGAACCTGGAAGTAATTCGTTCGCCCAAAGCTCACTGAAAAACTGATCAAAATCGCTTTAAATTCGATGTTAGAGCATGTACATCAATGAACCTCCTCTTGGGATTCATATGTATTGTTTATTAATTTTATGGTGGGACCATGAATAGCGATGAACCAGGATCAATTGTGCTCTTCCAGCAATGAACCTGGAGTCTGGATTCATAGGAATAAAATAAAATATTTTTAGAAAAATAAAATATTTTTTAATTTTTTTAAAAAGTTAGTATTCGATTTAATGAGAATTTAAGAATTAAAAAAAAAAACAAGCTTGTGAATCATGAAGATATAAAGGATTTTTCATGTGCGATTAGGGTTTTCAGCCGCCGCCGTCAACGGGCCTCACGCCTGAGACGAGAACCTTCTCCCCCCCCTTCTTACCGAAAATGATTTCTTCTGGCTCTTCTCCCGCATCTCTTCCTTCTCCCACATCTCATTCTCCCCCCCTTTCGGTCTCTTTCTCCGACAAGGAAGCCAAGGTTTCTGATTCGTCTGTCGGTGTAAAGCTTCTGTCTGACAAGTCGACGGGCTTTCCCTCTACTCCGACGGCGATTCCTTCCATCTCAGCTCCGACGTACGCCGAAAGGTTTAAAGCGTCCTTAAGAAACCTCAGAAAGATCTCAGATCCGCTCTATCTTGAGGATGGTACGCCGGTGGTTCAAGCTCCTCAAGAGGTCCTTCTTCAGGCGTCTGCCATGTGGAAAGACCACATTGTGGCTCATTTTCACGGTCGTAGGCCTCATCCGGCAAAAATCATTGCAGATTTGAACCCAGTATGGGGGAAGTTTGGCAATATCACGGTCCGTACGGTTTCGCAGACGAGTTGTCTTATCTTCATCCCTTCGGCTCAAACCAGAGATTGGGTTTTGCAAGTTGGGTATTGGCAAGTTGATCACTGTGCTTTTACGGTCTATCCTTGGTCTGCAGATGGTAATCTCCAAGAAATCGAGCTCAAAACCGCTCCAACTTGGGCTATTTTGAGGAACGTGCCGCCTCAGCTCTACTCCCTAGATGGTATTAGTGTGGTCGCAAGTGCGATTGGTGAACCTTTGCACACAGAAAAGTCTCGGTTAGATCCTTATCATCTTGGTGACACAAAGGTGAAAATCGAGATTACTCTTGAAAACGAACCTCCTAAGATAGTTGAAGTAAGAGATGTTCAAGGAAATGCGGTTCGGATCCAAGTGGATTATCCTAGCCTTCCTCCTAAGTGTCTTAACTGTGAGAAGTTTGGACACCTTATCAATCGGTGTACTAGGCCTATTGTGAAGAAGAACAGAGTGCAAGTGCCGGAGAATTCAGCATTAGGGAGAGTGGTCTCTACTTCAACTAAAATTTGTCTTCATGCCAATTCTGATGAAGTTGAGCAGGGGCGGGAAGAGTCTGAACCTGTTACAAGCGAGTCAATAGAGAATTTGATAAAGAAGAAGAAGAGAAAGAAGCGGAGTAGGTCTCGCTCTCGAACCTTCACTATATCTATCGGGGTAGAAGAGATATTAGATGGTCAAAACAAGAGTGGAGGTGAAGTTGGTTTTTCAAATGAGGCCTATGTTATTGCCGAGGAAGTGGAAACTCAAGTGGTATTAGGGAAGGGTTCCCTGGAGTTGGATGTTGATTTAGAAGAAGGGGAAGTACCAAAGGAGGAAGAAGATGAGGTGGAACCAGTTAGTCCCCTTGGAGTTGATTTAGATCCCGATGATGATGAAAGGATGTGGTTCAAGCATCCAAAAGCTGTTCGAAAGGCCATCAGACAGAAGTTATGGAATTCTACCCTTAAAGTGCAGCCGCATAAGGAGGGGTTGTCGGTCCGGTCTCGGGGTTTTTCCTCGGGAACAAAATTTCCTCTCTAACCGAAAGTCGGTCTTCAAAGCTGTAAATATGAAGATTTTTTCTTGGAATGTTAGAGGTTTGAATAATTCTGATCGGCAGTTTGCTATTCGTAATTGGTTGAATAAAATGGGATATTCAGTAGGTGCTTTTCTTGAGACTCATGTAGCAGAGGAAAACTCTGCTGCGATTATGTCAAGTATTTTTCGAGATTGGAGGGTTGAGAGTAATTACTCGGAGGTTGCAAGAGGAAGGATTTGGGTCGTTTGGGATCAGTCTCTATCAGTGATGGTTTATAAGAAGTCTGAGCAGATGGTTGTGTGTGGAGTCTTTGATCCGATTACGCAAGTTTCATTGACAGTGGGTTTTGTGTATGCTTTTAATTCGGAAGGTCAAAGGAAGCATCTGTGGGATGAGATTGTTAGCATTTCGAGTCACCATTTGGTTAAGAATAAGCCTTTTCTCATCGTGGGTGATTTTAATCAGATTCTAAATGATTCGGAACATTTCTCGATTCTTCCATATGACTTGCCAGTTAGAGGTATGGAGGAGTTCAGAGAATGTTTAGTAAGAAGTGAATTGGAAGATCTAGAATCTAGAGGAATTTTCTTCTCTTGGTCGAACAAAAGACCTGAAGATCCGATCCTTCGTAAACTCGATAGGGCTATTGCTAATGAAGCCTGGAGGGAAAGCTTTCCAGATGTTGTTGCTCATTTTGAGGCTCCTGGTGACTCGGATCATTCACCGTGTGTGGTTGATCTGCTTACGGTGTCTGATTCTAGGAAAGTCAGTTTCAAATATTTTTCCTTCCTAGCTTTTCATCCGCAGTTCCTGGATCTAATATCTGAAGCTTGGCAAAAGGAGATTGCTGTGGGTTCGGAACTGTTTTCTTTGGGCCAGCGTTTGAAGGCAGTAAAACAAGCGTGTCGGAGGCTTAATAGAATTGGATTTGGTAACATTCAACAAAAGACTAAGCTGGCAATGGAGGAGCTTCAAGAGATTCAATGTGAGCTGTTGGTTTCCCCTATGGAGACTCTCTTTAGGAGAGAATTTGTGGCTCGGAAAAGATGAAAGTTTCTTGATTCAGCGTTGCAGATTTTCTTCAGGACTAAGTCTAGGATTCGTTGGTTGAAGGAGGGTGACGCCAATACTAAATTCTTTTTTAAGGCGGTGTTGGCTCACCAAGCAAGGAATGCAATCCGATTTCTTATTGATGATGCAGAGGTTAAGGTTACAAATAAGGCTCAGATTAAGGATATGGTGGTGTCGTATTTCCACCACTTGCTGGGTTCGCAGTCTCCTGATATTGCCCCTCCGCCAGTTCGTGAGCTTCAGACGTTGATGCGTTATCGTTGTTCTGCCTCCCTAGGTGAAAAACTTTGTGTTCTGCCAAGTGATGATGAAGTGAGATCAACACTGATGACCATGCCTAAGAGCAAGGCCCCGGGTCCTGACGGGTTTCCGGTGGAGTTCTTTTGGGATGCTTGGGCTGTGGTGGGAAATGATGTTATCGCTTCTGTCAAAGAATTCTTTGTTGGAGGTAGAATGTTGAAGAAATTTAACGCCACAGCCATCTCGTTGATTCCTAAGATTACTGGAGCTGATAGGCTTAGTCTCTTCAGACCTATCTCTCTTTGTACAACAATCTACAAGGTGATCGCAAGAATCATGAAGAAAAAGATCTCGCTCTTCATTGATGAAGTGGTTCAGCGAAATCAAGTTGGGTTTATCCAAGGGAGATTACTGTGTGAGAACGTTCTTCTAGCCTCTGAGCTTGTTTCTGGTTTTAATGAAGAGGGTCGTGTTTCTCGGGGTTGCTTGAAGATCGATCTTGCCAAAGCCTATGACAACATTAGCTGGGAATTCATTCTGAATCTCCTTCATGCATTTGATCTACCGGAGAAGCTTATAGGCTGGATCAGAGAGTGTTTTACGACAACTTCATTCAGTGTGGTCATTAATGGTGAGTTACATGGGTATTTTCAAGGGAAGAAGGGGCTTAGACAAGGTGATCCAATTTCCTCGCTTCTTTTTGTCTTAGCTATGGACGTGCTTTCTAAAATGCTAGACCAAGGAGCAATTAATAGTCGGTTTAAGCCGCATCCTTCTTGTGAGGCGCCGTTAATTACGCATCTGAGTTTTGCCGATGATGTGTTGATCTTTTTCGACGGATCAGAAAAGTCTCTCCGAGGCATTTTGGAGATCTTAGATGAGTTCAAGCAGTTGTCTGGATTGAGTATCAATAGAGATAAAACTGAGTTGATGATCGATGGTGGAAGTCATTCTCTTTGTCAGGAGTTGGCTGAGTCCTTAGGTATTAAGCAAGGATCGCTTCCAGTAAGATACCTTGGGGTTCCGCTTTCTGCTAAGAAAATGAAGAAATCTGATTTTAAACCGTTGTTGGATAAGATTGAAGCTCGCTTTAACTCTTGGACAGTGAAGCACCTTTCTTTTGCAGGGAGGTTCCAATTAATCCAAGCGGTGATTTACTCCACTATCACCTTTTGGACTTCGATCTTTATCCTTCCGACTGAGTGTATTAAAATCTTGGAGAGGATGTGCAACGCCTTTTTGTGGAATAGAGCTCCCCTTTCTGCTAAGGGTGCGAAGATCAACTGGGACACGGTTTGCTCGCCTAAGGAAGAAGGGGGATTGGGTCTGAAGAGGCTAGGAGAGTGGAATCAGGTGCTAGCTCTTAAGTTAATTTGGCTTTTATTTGCAGCTGGTGGATCTTTATGGGTCTCGTGGATGAGGCTGCAGAAGATTGGGTCGGAGAATTTTTGGGAACTGGAGCCTCGCCGTGGAGATAGTTGGATTTGGAAGAAGCTGTGTAAGTTAAGAACTATCGCTAGACCCTTTATTGTTTGTGAAGTGGGGTCAGGGATAACAGCCAGATTCTGGGAGGATAATTGGACGGGTTTGGGTCCTTTAATTCAATTAACAGGCGAGAGAGGTCCTGCTGTCTCGGGTTTGCCTAGGGAAGCTAACGTGGCTGATGCTATTGTTAACGGACAGTGGTGGTTGAGCTCCTCTCGGAGCAGAAACTTTACCATTACTCTCCTTCAGCAATGTATCCCGCCTCCTGGCCCTATAGCGCAGTCTTCTACGGATGATACCTACCTGTGGCGAGTGGGAAATGATTCCCCTTCTTCTGTCTTCTCTACGGACAAAACGTGGAGGACTCTTCATCTGCCGAATACAACTGTGTCTTGGCATTCCCAGATTTGGTTTAAGGGAAGAGTACCTAAGCATGCTTTCATTTCTTGGCTGGTGGCGTGGAACAGATTAGCGACGAGAGACAGGCTGAGGGTGTGGGGAGCAGAGGTTCCTGCGACTTGTTTATTGTGTTCCAGTGCTGATGAATGTCGACAGCATTTGTTCTTTGATTGTGGGTACAGCTCGGAGATCTGGAGGTATTTTTGTTCGCGCTTAAACCTGTCTCCTCCAGTGTTGTTTGAAGACTGCCTAGGATGGCTAAAGGCGTTATCCTCGGATGCAAATACTCTGCTCATCATCAAGCTGATTTTCCAAGCTGTTATATATACTACTTGGAGGGAAAGAAACTCCAGATTACACACAAATGTGTGTAGACCTACTCAAGCTCTCATCCAAGATATTAAGAATACTATCAGATTGAGATTAGATCCTTTATCTCGGAGTATGCGGACCTCTAACATTTCAACTCCTACTTATCTCGGTTTTTGGTTAAATCTCTTTTAAGGGCAATGTTTAAGTCCCTAGTTTAGCCTTTCTTTAGCTTCGACTTGGAAAACTAGGTGTTGCAGGTTGTAATATCCTTTGTTTTCGTAATAAATTGGAATTTTAAGTAAAAAAAAAAAAAAAAAAAAGAATGAAAAAAAAAATTAAAATTTTTAGTATTCAATAAATTGAAAATTCTAGAAGATAGAAATTTTTGTATTATTTTTTGAAAATTTTTTATTCAATACATTGAAAATATATAAACTTACATAATATTTTAAAATATTTTGATTGCGAATGCCAAGCATATTCCCGACCTTCACAGATGTTGTCGGTTGAACTTGGGAGCTTCTTCTTGACTCTCCTGCTTCGAATTCATATGCATCATGCCTCCTATGGTTGCACTGGGCCCTGCACCATAATATCAAACTGTTAGTGGAAACTGAAGTTTGTACACAACACCAAAGAGACTGAATAAGACATATAATCACAGCTATAATCTTAGAGATACGGTACTATCTGAATGTTGGCTAACCTGGATCAAGAGGAAAGAATAGTCCGTATTGTTCTAACTGTTCATTTAGCTCTTGCCAACCAATTCCAGGCTCAACTAAAACGTCCATATCTTCCACATGTAATGCTTTCACCCTCTGTACAGTTTGAAAGAAGATTTAAATGAGCATGAGTGGCATAGTTTTAATAACGTCTATATACATACTGTAAGTTAGAAAATCTCTTCATGCCAAGAAAAATGATAAAATCACGTCATACCTAAGTCAAACACGATACACACTAGTTTTAATCATCTTCCTTTACAAACATAAGCAGGTTCAAAGATACACTTTGCAAATCTAATTCTTATAATGAAACTCACCAGTTCCGTTTATTGCATGATACAAAACGGAAGCTGATGTCAGATAAAAGAGACTAGAATACCTTCTTTAATGACATGTCAATGCATACACCTCCTTTTGTAGCCAAGGTGTGACCCTCAATCGATGTTGCACCACCATATGGTACAATAGGAACCTAATCAGAGAGTAATTGCAGCATAAAATTAAACTTTTACTGAAGAGAAATATGGCATGTTGGCCTAGACTACAAATGAGAAGCCTGATCACTGAAATCCTCTTTAAGTAAAATTTACAAACCTTATATTGGTTGCAGGATTTAAGAATCTTGGAGACTTCTTCTTCGGACCTAAACAATAGTTAAAAGGATGATGATCCATGAATTTCTTGTTTCTTATAATTTCAATGATAAAAGTCACAAAGATTAATAGAAACAAATATAAGACATTCAGTTATCACAGTCTAACAGCCAGAACAACCATTCTCATCTACTGATAACTAACATAGATGACAAAAAACCCGTCTCACTCACCTCGGGAAAACAACAACATCACGAATATTTACTGACTTATGAAAACTGTTCTGCGGCTTCCCATGGAAGTACCTCTCATCATAGTCCGTTGTCAAGTTATCCTTAAAAAAAGAAGGAAACACATAGGCAGCTAAGTTCAGAAACACAGCTACACATTAAAAACCATTTCTTAATGATGAAACTGAAGTCCACATTTGCAGATAAGCTAATGAAATGTAGAAAAACAAAAACAAATTAAAAATCTCCACCACCTCAAGGATTGTTTTCAACTCAGCAATAAGCTCCTTAGGAACCTCTTTGTACTCTCCTTTAACTACAAGTTCAGTACTTCCTTTCCCCCCAACTTTCACACCTCTACAAGGAAAATAGAAACAAGAAATCAAACACTATGTAGACTCTCAATTAAGAAAAGAAAACACTAACGCCGATGATTGGCTGATAGAAGGATACGACGACTGGTTCAGAAGTGTGAAAGAAGTAGCTGAGGCAGAAGCTATCGCCAGCGGGAAAAGAGACCTAGACCACCAATTTGGAATCCTCCAACGACCCTTCTCCGCAGAGATCGAAGACACATCACCATTTCTATTCGGCGTAGTCGATTAAAGCTGACGAGAAGAGCGGAGAAAGAAGGCGAAGACCTCGCGAAAACCGTGTTTTCCAACTCAAACACGCAGCCATCCGAAGCGTGACACGTGGTATGATCCCGTCTCATATGGGTTCAGCTGAGAGACCCGGTTCACCAAATAAAACCCATTTTTCATTTTTTTTTTTTTAGAAAACCCATGAACCCCAGCCCATGAACCTCTAATAAACCTCTGATGTACATGCTCTTAGCTGGTCTTCGGACCCCTAACAAATTACTACTTTGTCTTATTCAAAAAGAGAAATTTTATCTAACTAACGGATAGAAATGTATTCTAGAGATTTACTGATTTGGAATTTTGATAAGAGAAAATTTTAGAATTTTCATTTTAAGTTTGAATAGACCAATGGAAGAGTCAAAAATGGACTCATTTATTGGGTTGTGGATGTTAAAAGCTGACAAAATGATAATTGTAGCTCTTGCATAATCCATGCTACTACGTTCGCTCCTTCTTTTCCCAAAGGTTCTTGCCTTTATTTTGATTATTACATTCAGATCTCCAGGGTTCTAATCTCATAAGCTCTTTATTTTGTAAATGGTCTTTGTAGGAATCAAGAAGAAGCCGCCAAGGACAATACCACTAAACGATTCTGATGCATTCCCTTCATCAATCGTTCCATCAAACAATCCAAAGTTGAGAAGACTCTTGTAACTTTGTAGGAATGTTGTCATCATCGTCTACTCGAAACTCAAGTTAGACTAACACTATCAACTTGAATAACAGAAGATTACAACAATCTGAGAAACAAACAAGAACTTATCATTTTCTTCAGTAACCACTCATGAGTTTTACAAACACATGCTTTTCAAGAACACATGATATACTGTGATCAATCGATCGGAAACAGCTAAAAAAATGCAGTAAAGAAACGAAAATGGTACTGTACCCACAACACCAGACCAATCGATCGTCCCACAAATCCTGTCTCCAGCTCTATGCAATGGTTAAATCCTTTTTCAATTTGATCGCACAGATGCAAAACCGCCAGCTTTCCGTCGTGTTCCCTTTTTCTATAATTGTATCATTTTTAGTAGTATCTTTCAAGTTGAAGCCAATGGATGGTGCGCTTTAAGTACCATTGTTTAGTGAAAGGGAAGAAGAAAGTGTTAAGTCAAAACTGCAGTCAGAGACGACGTGGATGGTAGGAGGACCGGAGGTGCTAACGCCTTGGAAGAGGCGAGCCGACGCTTCTCTTTGAAGTCAGAGTCTCACTCACCGTTAAATAGAGAACACCATTCCACGTGGTAATGTATATTAGCATGTTCTTGGTTCCTTCATCTCATGGTGGTGGTAACTAGTACGCGTTTGTTTCCTTTCGTCAACCATATATATCAAAGCTCCAAAAGGCTAGGAGTAGTAGACATCACGCAGTTGCCGGGCATTAGATTTTTTATTTATGCTTATAGACTGTATATGTGGTGTGGTGGCCATCAGGCCATTAGTATTTGTCAATTCGGTTCAATCCGATTTAAAATACTAAAAATTGTTAAACCGCTTTGATATAGTTTCTTGCAACGGTTGGTTATGTAACTTAAGATGAGTGTCTAAAACAGCTTATGTGACATTTGCAGCTGGCGATTCTTGCGGGTGCCTTTCTATGTGTGTTGGGAACATGGTCAGAATTTTGGACTGTCAAGATTCTGACAAAAGATGGTTCTATTGACAATTAGCACATCATTTTTTTGTCTCTTGGACCATAAAGATGTTTCTTTCTTTGGGTTGCTACTTGACAATTGGCACATATTTCTTGTTGCAAAACTTCTCATTTTTATTGCACTACGGTAAAATCAATATGTGATTTCTCAATGGTGACAACCCCAGGCCGGGGATCAAAGAATATATTTTTTTCTCCATGTGTAGTCATCAAACAAGAAACTAATGGAAGATGAATACAATCCCATGAACAAACAAGAAACCAACTTTCAATTTTCTTCAGTAACCCCACTCATGAGTTTTACAAAACATATGCTTTCACTGGTTTCCAAACCCTAACCCCCTTATGGATTAGTGAACCCTTGGGAAAATATTTAAATTCTATACCTTTTAAATTTCGAAAAATATATTTTAAAATCGTTTTTAATCATATTTTAATGATTTTTCGCAAAAATGTGAATTTTGTTTTTGATTTTTGAAATATTTTTATCAAATTCTATAAATCAAATAAAATATTCATGTTTCTAATTTAATTTTATAATTTTTCTTTTGACAAATAAAATTAAAAGAAGAAATGTGTTCTACATAGATTAAAGAATAAGATATAAGGGCATGAGAGGAATTGTCTCGAAACGAGTCAACTTCTCCCATGCCCCTATTTTTTTAGAGTTAATCTCTTATGGACTCATTTGATTTCTTATACCTCCATTTCATGTTAGAGAGTATCCCTATTTTTTCAGCAAGGTGTTCATAAGTTTCAAAACACGACACCAAACTCGTTTTTTTTTGGTAGACCAGCAAACTCGGTTTGATTAAGGTAGACACCTCACTTTGGATTAGGTTATGATTCAGGTATTGAATTAAATTATTTTCTAACTAAACTTACTGATACTCTCTAAACAGAATATTTTTTAATCAGTGTTTACAATATAATATAACAGTTTTTTTAACAGATTTATTTAAAATGTAACATACAAACTTTAAATATTGTATATTCAAGTATATAATTATTATGTCATTTTATATATATACAAAATATAAACTATAAAGATTTTTATTAAACATATAAATTTATTTTTTAAATATATGTTAAATAATTTGATGATTAATATTATTCACACTCATAAATTTGAATTAGAAAGAATAGTAATTTAGTTTAATTTAATATTTCCTCAAAAATAAACGTAAAAAACATAATCATGTAGAATCGGGTTGTTCGTAGCCAAGTGGCAACTGAGCTCTACCTTCGGGACCTGATGTTAGGGGTTCGACCCCTCCTTACCTCAGTTTGAGGATTTCGGTCCAAGGTGACCAAATATTGACAAAAAATCAGAATTTTGTTTTTTGACCAAAAAAAAAACTAGTTGGTAGAATATTTTCATTTAGAATATATAAAGTTTCAATACTAATTTCATATAATTTATTTATTTGTCTAATAATATCAGAAATTATATTTTTTAAATAAAAAATAATTTTATAAAAAATTAAGTTAAATTTTAAATTATAATTATGTTTAAAATAATATTATTTATTCATACTATATGAGATATATATATATATATATATATATATATATATATATATTAACATAAACACCTATTAAAATAAAATAATTTATTTATATGATTGTATAATCATTGTAACTTATTATAAAAAAAAATTAGACCATGATCACAAAAGTTTATGTGAGATTTTTAAGAGTTTTAGTAATTTATACTCGTTTTGAAAATTTCAAAATACAATATATATAAAAAAATCTAAATTTTTATTATATGATTATTGTATTTGTGTGATTTATTTTAATAATAAGAATTAAACAAAATTGATATAATGTATACATATTGTTAACAAACCTTTATTATTTAAAATCATTAATAGTCATATATATATTAATCACATTAGGTAATTTCAAAGCTTTTATTTAAGAAAATAATATATAGGAGATTTAGTTTGATATGTTATTTAGTTTGATATGTCTTATAGGAGACCAACAGACCATGTTATAAAAATATGCTTTATATGAGGTGCTCTGAAATTCTTCTAAACTGAAATAGAAACCATAGAGAGGTGCCACGTAAGATAGAGTTATTTTTTAATTAATACAAACTTAATGTTACAACTTTTCAAATGTTTCTCAATTTATATATATAGGGGATGTTATTTAGTTTGATATGTATTATATGAGACCAACGAACTTTGTTTTAAAACTATGTTTTATATGAGGTGCTTTAGAATTCTTCCAAGTAGAATTTCATAGAGAACTGCCACATAAGATAAGATTCTTTTAATTAGTACAAACTTAAGTTTATAACTTTTTAAATGATCTTCAATTAATATATATGGGATTTGGTGTGTGCATTTAAATCAAACGATTATTGTTATTTATTAACAATCATTTTAGGGTAAATAAATCAACACAATCAATTTTATCCATCATATATTAGATACAATTAAATTTAAATGACATTAACAATATCTATAATATATTTTAAATATGGATGTTTAGTGAATGGATTTTCTCATTATAAGGTTTTATGATTATCAATAGATTTTTATAACAACATTTTGAACTATTAAAAATGAAATGCAATATTTAAATTAAAATATTAAATTCTCAATATTTTTCAAGGAAAATATAAAAATATAAGCATGTATTTTTATGTTATGTAATTTAATTTAATATATATATATATATGTATTAATATAAACATATTAAATAAGACATCTTACTCATATATTTTATAATTATTTGTATCTTATTATAATAAATATTTAAACCATTGATCTAAAAAGTTTATTTGAGATATTTAACAATTTAGTAATTTATATCCGTTTTAAAAAATTCAAAATACAATATATATGGAAAATATAAATTTTTATTATATAAATAATGTAGTTGTGAAATTATTTTAATAACAAATATTTAAACAAATATTGTAGAGGGTATTCAAATTGTTAGCAAATCTTTATTACGGAATTTATTAATTGTCATATATATTTTAATCACATTAGGTAATTCCGTAACTTTTATTTAAGGAAAGAATGAATAATAAATTTTAATATTAATAAGAGATGTGACCAACATCTTTCTAGTAAATATATGTTTAAACTATCGTATATGTAAGGTGCTCTACAATTGTGTTAAATGGAATTTAGAAGGCAAAAAGATATGCCACATATGATTGAAGTTATTTTTAATCAATACAAACTTAAGGTTACAATTTTTTAAATGATTCCCAAATAATATATAGGGGATGTGTTTTTAGGGTTAGATTGTGGAATC